GGGCTAACTGTTTACTGTGTAGGGTTTGTTCAGCATATTATCTTTGTGGTGTAGAGGTATCCTCAGTCCATATCAGGTTGTCTGCCCTTCGATTCCAAATACAACACACAGGTATGCATTTCAGCGTGCTCTGTGCGGCCTTGGTACCTTTATTAGTATGGTTTAGTATATGATACGTTAGTATTTCTATGAAAAACCTTACTAAAGCATATAGAAACTGTGTGTTAGTGTATCCACTCGCGGCAATCTGTGTAGTGCGTCAGATTGGTTGAAAATACTTTATACACAACTGCCGAATGTGTAATGGGGTTACAAGTCTGTGTACTGCGAGCTTGGTTGTTTGTTGAGAGAAATAATTTGGGAGAGCGCTGATACGCCTGAAGACAAACTCCCCGACCTAAACCCTAAAACCCAAATGTATACTGACAATGCGGCTGCATTTCAAATCCAATATTTCAGGCGACCACAAAAAAAGGTGGTGCACTCAAAGGCACTGCTCCCGACGCGGCAGATAGAAGTAGCAATAAAGAGCAGCTCAACCACCCTGACAACCGTAGCCAGGCATACGGTCGCCATGGCAACCACAACGCCGCCGACTTCGCGCGGCCATCTTATGATAATAGAAGTCAGCACTCACACCATCCACAGCCACATCGACGTCTGCAGCACTTCGACACGGTAGGTGGATAAGGCGAGCCTCTACGGCTGTGCTATTTATAGAATGCTAAAAATAGAATAAGTATGATGTCCAATAGACGGTGTTTGTGGGGGGTGTTTACGGGTTTAATTGTGTATACACTAGTTATATATTGATTGACATGTCTTGGGCGATGGGTGTTCATTTGACGCTATGTGATGAGTCAAGCGCTGAGACTGTTCACGTCTGTTACTCCCGAGGTAAATCTCGGGGGTGTGGACAGCGTTTAAGGTTCCAAGGTTTATGGTTTATGGATAGTCTATACAGTGCCCTGTATGAGCACACAATGATTCGCGGCTATGCTGTAGAAGTTCCATCACAATATCAGATCACTAAACTCTAAACTCTGTGACTGAAATACTCACATATCCCACACACACCTTACAGCTCTAAACCTTAAAACCTGAAACGCTAAACCCCCAAAAACCCTAAAAACCACAAAACGCTAAACCCTGTAGCTTAAGCACTCACATACCTCACATGTACACTGTAGCTTCGCCGCCCGTCGTCGCCAGGACTGAGTCGATTTCAGGAGAATGACAGCGAAGAGGGACTCAATGGCATTGAGTTTGGGGCCGACTTTGGGAATCTGTCGACACTCAAAATAAACCAAAATGATCGAAGTGTGAGTGTGGAGGTATGTCAATGAAATATATACATATAACGATAACGATATAGTTT